AGTTTCCTGTGTGTCAGGGGATGCCATTAGTTTGTCACGGATGATCTCACAAGGAGGGAAGATGACAATTTGGCTTGCTCACTAAAAAACAAGACAACTAGCCTTTACTAGAAGGCCTAACTCCATTAGCTTGCTTCCACTGCCTTTGTGAGCAGAATTTGAATTTCTCAGCACGTCTATCATTTCCTGAGGAACTTCTTCCTCCCAGATGCTCACCCTGCCTTATGAAAAAAACAAAAAAAAAACAAAAAAAAAAAAAAACCCAAACAAACAAAAAAAACCACAGCAGAGCAAAGTCTTCCCAAAAAATAATCTGCTCATTAGGGTGTACAAGCACAGTTTTCCTATCAGTCAAATTGTGGGATTTATTATAAAACTAATTACATCTTCAACTTCTTTTCTATTTGTTTTCTACATGCCATTAAGAGAAAATTCTGACTTTTTATGTATATAGCTACATAGAAAAGCTACATTTCCATGCAAACTTACAAGCTGCACATGTGAATGCTTCTGTCCAAAATAACTGAGAAGTAGCTTATCATTTAGAATTGGGTGACTTTAAATTATCTCCTCTTGGATGAAGTGTATTTCACTTCACGTCACTATAACTTATTCATATTGCCGTGACCTTACTGCCTCATATCTCCAGAGCTCCCAGAAGAGACCATCGTAACAGCTGACAAGCAGAACAACTACCAAGGAAAATGGAGGCTTTTAGACAGCAAAGAAACATTTGTAAATGGCCACACCTCACTAATCTGAACTGGTGCCAAACACACACAAACTAATTTTCTGAGTAGATATATGCATTTTTACACATATATGCGAGGAACAGGAGTCTTTTCATTCACAATGTCCACAGAGATCTAGCAGCATGTGTATTTTACAAAATTATTTGGCATCCTAGAGGCCTTATCACCATCTGACACTCACACAATAGCTCTCCCATCTCTATAATGGAACGTGGCATCTCCATTTCCCTAACCTTGTATTAGTGTTCGTGCACCTGCACAGTGACAGCCATTCCAAGGTCAACATGATGAGCATGGAACTGATTGGATTGAGAGTCTTTGCCAACTGCATAACCATTACACCCAGTTTGAGACAGAAGATGAGACCAAGCAGCTAGAGAAAGGAGGAACTGTTCCTTTCAGCAGTAGCAGAGAAACATGACAACATCAAAACTAAACACTTATATCACAGGCTCCTAAATCCTCTGTTAGGAATGCCTAGAAACCTTGGTTTACTTTTCAGCAGGGCATAGATACTCTGTATTTTGACAACAGACAGCAGCCTAAAGTCTCAGACTGTGCCATCTTAGAGGAGCAGAACATAAAGGTTCACAAGAAAGTCTATCTGAGATGCACCAACCAGACATTTGCACGCTGCAGTCCCACAAGGACCCTACACTCAGGGACCAGCAGCCACAGCATATATGCTGGAATGCAGAGAATTCCAAGTGCAACATAAAGCATGGTGTTCTAGCAGCTTTACTAAAAGCACAGGACAACTTGGCAATAGCAGTAAATTACCTGACAGTGCAAGAAACACATTTCAAGAAACACAAGTGTCGCCCTGTTCCACACAAAGGAGCTCACCCTTGTATGACAACTCAAACAGGAATGCCTTCATATCAGAAAGGCTGAGACAGAAACTCTCTTCTCACCACTGAAACTGTATTGATGCATGGAATGCAACATAAAAGTCTTGCTCCAATGTCAGCTTACAAAGCAGCTTATATAGAAAAAAAGCTACTGAGCAAAACCAAAAACCACCTCAGGAAACAGATCAGAACTGACAACACACCTCATCCCAAAGGAATGCCCTTGCCATAGTGCCTCAGACATACCAGGGAGAATGACTAACCTGGCACTGGGGAGCAAAGTCACATCCCTCTCTATACACAGTGGCAGGTTCAGCCAGAGGATCAGAGTGAGCTTGGCCCATCTTCAGGTTTGGTGTCCCTTGAGAGACAGCAGCTACAGGCTTGAAACCAGGCTTCCCAGGTGGCAGGCCAAGTGTTCTATCCTCCAGGTCAACAGTCCCTAAGGCACCATTCAGAAATCACTGATTCTCTGTAACAGACCTGTGAAAACACGCTGCCTTTCTGCTCATCACTCTGCTTAGAACCCCCAAGAAGATGCAGAAGCATTAAGGTCTGCACTGGGGTGCAACTCAACAATTTGGGATCACTGGTCTGGTTTATAAATGTGAAGGTAGATACAACGACAGACACTACCTTTATCTCTACAAAGAATATAGCTCAGATAGGACATATCTAGTCTGTCACAGTGAGGATGAAACATGCTAAGAACTCAAAGGCCTCTGGTAAGAGGAAGATTTCCTTATGAATAAAAAGATTAGGCAAAAGTCCCAAGACACTCTATTCAGGCAGAACAGCCCTCTTGTCAGTCCTACAGAAAATTTCAAGATGGATACAAACAGGAGGCAAGTATTTAAGGTTGCCACCCAATATTTGTGGAGCAGAGAGCTGAAGCCATGGCTTCCTACACCCCAAAGCTACACCTTATCTTCTGTCCACTCACACTGGCTAATGTCTTAGCTCAGACAATCCAACCTAAAAGCTGAAGCCACGCTTAAGAAAGCAGTCTAGCACTTAGAGCCTATCTCTCAGAGAATGCTTTGAACAGATTTTGAAATGTCTGTCCATGACCTCCTTATGATGTCAGTGCTTTGCACAAGAAACAGCTGCCCAGGCAAACTGTAAAGAAATAAAGAATCTCCTTATCCTAATAATTCCCCTGATTTAAACCCAGCATGCTTTACAAGTTCATTAGGAGGCTCCTCTTACTTTCCTGGACTATATAACTGCTTCATTACAAACTCGTACAAACAAATCTGAACTTTGTAGTCATCCAGAAAGTATATCCCTAGGCAACAGGCAAATAAATTCCAAGTAGCAGTCACCATAAAGCACATAGAGTAGACAGACAGATACATAGTCCACTCTAACACATGAATCACTGTACAGGAATGAGTATGCTTGTCTTGTTTTTTACCATACACAAGATTTCTAGTAAGATGTATGTTAAGCTTGGCATGACTTCTCCTACAGCAAAAAAGCTTACAAGCAAACAAGTTATCAAGTAGCTGTCATCCATAAAATACTTGAGATCTTTGCCCAAATCAATGCAGCTTCCCTTTGGTGTCAATAGAAGTTACTAGGAATGAAAACAGAGCATCCAAGATGTCAGCAGAATGTGCTCCAATGACTGTACTGATACTTAAACTAAACATTTATCTCTGCTTGTACAGAAATGCTAATAATGCTTTCAAAAGTATCAAAGCATGTATGAACAGCCATCTCTATCCAGTGTCTGTAAATGATATTCACATTGAGCTTAGCCTGTACAGGATGAGGCAGCCTAATTTTCACCAAGAAATTAGAAAAGTGAAGCAAGAGAGACACTTTGGGGTCAATTTTCACAGCAACATGATGACCCAAAACTATTAATAAGTTTGTACAGTACACAAAGAAATTGTAGATCCGTGTTACGTAACACAAGTGTAAGGAATTTCTAAGGTAGAGAGAAAGGAAGCAAAGGACTTAGAGAAACAAGGACAATGGAGGAGAAAAAGTCTGTTTTGGAGATTCCTAAATAGAACAATGTACAGAACATAATACCAAGAAATTTTTAATGGATTTTCTGAGATTCACTGTAGCTCCCAGCCATGAAAAACAGCCTGTATCATACCTCAAGGCCCTAAAAATTATACTTTTTGTATGCCTAATAGAGGTAAAAATTGTAATTTTGAGCATAATAAAACTAACCCAAAATTTCATAATAGGGCAAAATTTAGCATTATTCATCTACAAGAATTTTGCTTGGAGAACCACATGAAATTAGATATTAAACCAGAACTTGCAGCCCTTCCTATACTTTAAAAAAGTCTAGTAAGTTTCGCTGGTTTGACAGAGGGACTACAGAATGCCAAGTACAAAAAGTGATGTAAAAGTTTCTGTCACTTTCTTGAAACAGTTTTCTGTTCTGCTTCCTTCATCTTTACAGAAAGAAGCAAGTTGCTGTCAACAGAAATTTCACAGGGACTGGTGTTTTTAGAATCACATGCTTTAAATAAAGTGTATTTAAAGTCTCATACAATATATTCTGTAAAGTTTGCAGCATATTTTTTAATTATCAAAACTAATTTTGTCTCCTTGCTGTAAACTTAGTGGTAGAATGAAGTAATTAAAAAGCTTTTATTCAGTACCCATAGCTGTAATGCATGTGTCACAAAACTTTGGACCCACACGGAGTCTTAACTCCCAATTAAATAATAAAATTGCGTAACATGCCACAAAAACTATCCTCTTAGCTATTCAGATAAAGTCCAATTACAGCTTATCAAACTAACCTTTACCTCTGGGACAGCATGAAATAGATGTGGTAGTCAGACAGTTATACCATCTTCAGATGTCTCATTCACGTCCCAAATGAACACAAGCTTACTCAGGGGTTTGTAGACCCTAATTTTACATGTTTTCACACAACTTGAAGGAAAGTTCTTCCCAAACGTTTGACTCTTTTTAATAATAACTCGGCTTTGGGAAAGGATCCGCAAAGATCCCAAATTACCCTATTTCAACGGGAATACCAGAGACCTCCCTGGAATCAGAAGGCAGAAATGCACCCAGGCGGGCACAGCGGTGCTGTGCCGGACCCTGGCACACCCAGGGGGACGCTGCACCATCCCGGATAGCGCTTCCCTGGAGCGACCGGCAGCGCCCAGGTGAGCGGGAAGCAGGAGCGCTTAGCCCGGCCCGGCGGCAGCGGGGCGGGGTGCCCGGGGCACGGCGAGCGCTGCGGCCCCGGTCCCGGCGGGCAGAGCCGGCTCCGCGGAGCCACGCACCGAGTGCGGTACGCCCGAGGGCGGCGCGGGCCACGGCCGAGCACGGAGCGTCCCCAGCCCCATCCCGGAGCCGCCGCCTGCCCCGGCGGCCGCCCCGGCGCTCCCCGCGGCAAGGGCCGCCTCCTTACCGGCACAGCTCGGCGAAGGCCTGGAAATTCAGTTTCCTGATCTTCTTCTCGCTCAGCCAGTATCCCACCCGCTTCCCCTTCAGGAAGGTCTGCATGGTGCCGCCCCGCGAGCAGGCGACCAGTCCGGGGCGGCGGGGCAGCGCGCCTGCCGCTCGCTCTCGGCGCCTGCCAAACGACGGCTGCAAGAGAAGCAGAGAAAGGAGGATCAGCCGGTGCCCCGGGGCGGCCGCTGCCCCCCGCCCGCTCCGCTGAACTGCCGAGCCGCGCCGCGCCAGGGGCAGCCCCGGCAGGCAGGCAGCCTCGACAGGCCCTTCCCGCACCGGCGGGCAGCTCGCCGAGGCAGAGAGAAGCCGCTCCCCGCACCAGCCCCGGAGCGCCCAGCCGAGCAGGCAGGCTGCCGCCCGCCCCGCGGCACGCCCGCAGCGCCCGTACGCACGGACGGACCCCGCCGCCGAGCTCGCCTCCGTGCCCGCCCGCCGCCGCTGCTGCTGCTGCGCGGCCGCGGTGCTGCTGCTGCTGCTGCAGCCGCTCAGCTCCCCATTTGCCCGCTATTCACAGCCGCCTCCACTTCCTCCTCCTCCGGGCCGTCCCCTCCGCTCCGCTCCCACCCACCTCGCGGGGCGGGCACCGGGACGCTCCCGCCCCGCCGCAGCACCGCGGGGTCGGACCGGAGCACCCGGACTGCGCTCCGCCGCCGCCAGGGGGAACCCGCGCCGCCGCCTTAAAGAGACAGCGCCCCTTTCTGGGCCTGGCCCGGCCGGGGCACCGGGGGCGTGGCCCGTGGATGCGCCGTGGAATTTCGGTTTCCTAGGGAGGAACAGTTCTGCACAATACTTACATTCCCTATGGGTGCTGCTGAAAGTGGTTGGTCAGTACATCTTTCACAGTAAAAATGTTCCAAGTAAACATGAGTCTTCACTGCAAAGCCAAGGATCTTCCTTCTTCCAGCATTTGCATGTATGTGTAGGGATTAAACAGACTTTGCAATAGGTGTCTGATATTTAACTTTCTTTTGCAAGAGGCAGAAGGCTGGCAATGCAAGCATGGACTGACATTCTAATTTTTGGGTTGTGCATCCCTAAATACTGAGGCAGCTGTTCTGTGCTTCATTTTAGAGGAAGAATCTTTCAGCCAGAATTACTGTGCTGTCTCACAGCGAAGTATCATTTCCCTGTTTTTGTTTTTCCACTTCATCTGAAACGATCATAATTTCAGCCTGAATATTTTTTTTCTGCCTCTCCAGGAATGGAAAGCATGGCCTTTACAATAACGATGTCCTTCACAGAGGGGTTGGATTGCAGTACCTGGAATCCTGAGCTGAGGTGCAGATGATGCTTCTGTGATGATGCTTTCTGTGAACCAGCCCTGGAGCCCTGTGCAGTGGGAACTGCTCAGCGAGTTCTGCTGACTCACAGTGCCACAACAAATGCGGTTTTATAACTTCAGCAGAGTACTGGAAAATTGGTAGAAGTATCCATGTCAAGGAAAGAAGGGTGAAAGCCCTAAGAAATATGAAAGGGGTAATTGATTTAGGGAATTGGTAGAAAGCATTTTACATTCCTGTCATTACTCACATGAACAGTGCAGTCATCTTGACCCAAGGGTATATTGGAAAACAGGCAAGGAAGGGAACCACCTGCAAACAGCTCATACCAATGGTTTTTGAAAATTTATATCATAGTATTTTTTCTCCATTTGTGGTTGCTCTGAGGAATAAATACCTTTATTTTTCTTTTTCATCTTATTTGCTACTGATATGTTCTAACCTTTATTTTACATAACACTTTTTATCTTAATCATATTCACACATTTTTTCAGTTCAATAATTAATGTAATTAGAAATAGTAAATGTATTTTGATAGCATGATTCCTGTTGCAGAATGTTTCACTGATATTTAAACATTTTATGGGAGCATGGTAATTTTGGAAAATTTTTAAACTCAAAAATAGAAGAATTTATCAAACATTATCAAATTAATATAATAACCCTGAAACAAATTGCCTTGGGTTTCTTGTTATGAAGTGTTTTGTCTTGCCAATATCAGTGCTTTATTTCAGCTATCGTTTCACCAGACTTATTTTAGACTTTATTAGAATTTGCATCAGTATATTAAGCTCAAAATTTATATTTGTATCAAAATGGAATATGAATGTATTGAAACATGAAATTATTGAAGCTATCTTCTGAAATTATTTCTTTCAGAATTTTTTTTTCATTAAGAAATGTCACAGCTTCAGACCAATCTAAAACACAGTCTGAAGAGACAGAAATATTTATGTACTTTTTTCCAGATGCAGGAGAGCAGATTTTTAGAGCTGTTGTGCATTCCTAGTTCCTGTGGAAATGAAGCACATGCACTAAAAAGGAGGAATTTTCTTTGCTCCAATATAGACAAATTTGTATGACATATATCAAACACCAGCTTCAATCTTAGGAATGAGAAAGCTGGTAAATGCCTTCATTTTAAACTATACTTCTTGAATCTTAACCCTTGAACAACTGCAGATGTGGGAAGCATATTTCACCTGCTATGCCTCTGTACTGCATCTTGCTGTACAATGCTGCTAAATAAATTACAATCCTCTGTTTACATTGCAGAGCCTGTTCAGGCAATGACAAACCTTCAACCACAGGAAGCCCCAGAGTAATATTTACGCAATTCCTGATCAGGAGTAAGCTGACTATTCCTGTGACTTTCCATGGCCCAACTCTGTAAGCTGCATCTCATGAGCTGCTTCATGCTAATTAAAGGGGTGAGGGTTGATTAGGATCTTGAGCCCTCCAGCAATCAGAACTATCTTCCTCTTCATCTTAGCTTCAGCTACAGGCCAAAGCAGGTTTCCCTTGTTTAGCTGGAACCTCCTTGTCTTCTAACCCTTTCAATAAATACAGGGGCTCTGACAAAGCCGGATACTTTCAATGTGGTACAAGTTAGTGAAATTCCACGGAGATTCATTTTAGAATAATATGAGATATCTCCACCTAATTAGTTATTGAAGTATATTTTCTCAGTACTTTTAAAATTATTTTTTCAGCAGCCAGCAGAAGTCACAATAAGATCTTTTGCAATGAGCAGAAAGAAAAAGGTGAAGTGATTTACATTGCCTGCAGTGTAGGGTTTTTACTTTTATTTGCATTTTTTATTATTACAACACAGTTGTTGTTTTGCTGTGGATGGGCAGGAGGGCAGGCTGAGCCTTCTGTATCAGAAGAGGTCTCCCCTTTCTCCACTCAGTCAAACCACCGAGTCAGACCATGTGCTAACACAGCACTGCTCAAATGAGGTTGTAGGTAAGAGGGAGCACAAGGAAAACTCTGCATGTGCTGCACTGCAGCTTTTGGGCCCTGAGGGAGAGACTCAAAGAGTAGCCCAGGTGCTGCACAGCATGTGGAACTTGTCAACACCAGTGAGGCAGACAGAGAGAAATGTATGAGAAGCATAGTGGGCTGCCATTTCCTCAGGTCTCTGCTACATCTGCAATTGATTCATTATAGCAAGATTCATCGAAAGGACAGATAGGACTTCTTTCCACAGTGGCTCACTAGAGCATGTGTATGACAGAAACTGAGTTTCTACAATTTATGATTGCTTTTTGCCTAATATCTGGCAAACCATATACTTGCAGCTATTGTCTGAAAACTTTTCTGAATGTGCTCTTGGCCAGCAGCTTTTTAGTGATAAATCAGTGAAGGTTAGTCCTGGGGGTGAAAGCTCATTTCTGATGTCTCAATTCAAACGTACCACAGCTATCCCTTGCCAAGGGCCACAAGACACCCACCCATTGCAGAGTTCTGGTCATGGCTCCCAGGAGGGACCTCCTCTAGCACCTGATGCTGCCCAGCTGCTCTGCTCTGAAGGACTGCGTGCCCATGGAGATGGCACAGGACAGGCCTTGCCAGCTGGAAAGACAGTCATTGTACAGTCAGATAAATCAGGTGGTGCTGTTCAGAGCCACAGTCCCTCCAAAAATGACGCTTATTTTCACTTTCTGCCACACCCTCCTTCACATCAGTCCATGTGCTTATGTGGCTGTGCAAGGACAGAATAAGGGAGCCAGGAACTTAGATGGACTTAAACAAACCCAGAAATTGACAACAGTATTTAAGTCTTAGCCTAAACAAATTCCTTAGTCTGGATCACCATTCTTTTTTCTACCTGTTTATAATGGCACAAGGCAGCAAGCAGGTTGGAAAAAAGAAGCCAGGAAGAGAAGGCATCAAACTACCTCTTTTGGTGGCAATCCTACTTTACAGCAGCTGCAGGGTTGGGGAAGGCATGGTTCACCTCTACTTCCCCACTCACCTGACAACCTATGCAGTTTATGCTTCAGTATTCTGATTTTATAAAGAAAAGAAGGATTCATGAGAACTGCCTGAGACTCATTGGTATTTCTGATCTTTTTGAGATCAGAAGAAGGAATTAATCTAGAAGAGGTCAAAAACCTTCCAAAAGAGAGTAACAATGCCTGGCAGATGACTATCCCATGCAGGGCCATTCAAGGATTCCTGAGCTCGCATCAGGAAGTGGAGTGCTGCTTAGATGGCTACCTGTCACCCTGAGAGCACAGCAAGCTCTTCTGTTCCAGCCATGAAAACAGGATAACTATGGGGTTTTTTGAAACTGCAAGGAAATCACCTTTATGAGAAGGTACATCTTACTTTATATACAAAAGCTCAAAAAATCTTCTATCCTGAGCTCTGATTAATATATATGCTGCAGGAGAGTAAGAAAAGGTCTGGCTGCCAAGTCGGCTTGCTTGTCATGTAACATGTTGGGGACAGACTCTGTATAAGCTCATAAACCAAGGAAAGCATTTCGTCAGTGAATAAAGATTTTGAAGCCACAAAAATCCTATGTGGCCAAGACAAAAGATGACAAAGTCCTGTGCCAGTATAATTATGTCAGTAGGAGCAGATTTTTTTAAACTGAATAACTTCCTCTAGCCAAAACTCAACTGTGGACATAGACACACAGCTCCATTACTGTAGCTCTATTGCCTTTTACTATGACAATCAGCTTCGTGGAAATAATGCTCATGCAAACTTTTCCAATGCAGACATATGGAGATATATACTTTGGTGATTGCTTCAGTGTAGTTAAAATGATTCAAACTTTATGTGCAAGGAAATCCTGAAGGATTTGGGTGACCTCACAGTTTATTAAGGTTTGGATTGAGACTTGGATAAGGACTAGGATGCAGCGAAGTTTTCTCAACCTACAGTTTCATGATAAGAGAGTTATTTTGCTTATAGCTGTTTGTAATTTTTTAGTCAGATGGTTTTAAATACCTATAACAATTCTGGGAGCACACTTAAAGCAAAATGAGCCATCTTACCACATATTTTGTATTGCTGTAATTTTTTAAAATGTAGCTATTTTTGATATAATGAATGTAAATCAGACTGACATAGATATATAACTCATACATATAAATTCATATAAAGTGACCTGGACATATATTAATCCTACCACTGTTGTCCCATACTTTGCTGGCTTACATCTGTCTTTTTTTCTCCTGTTGAGAATGTATTCAAGGTGACCTAAAGAACATGTCCTCATTCCAGTGGTT